CGCTCAGTGCGAAGTCATGGTAGGGGAAGCAAAAGCGATACTAGCGCTAGCTGCGCATAATTCGTGCCATATCAGATACACGTACACATTTTACTTTTTTTTTTTTTTAAAGTAGGTAAAAATAATACTATAAGCAACCGGAGTTGCTGTGTTGAAAATTGTACAAATACTAGCAAAAAAAAACGGTGAAAATTATAAAAAAATTTCAGTAGCAACGCTGAAATTAAATCAAAGAAATAAATGGATAGGTGTACAATAAGAAGAAAAATTATCTTAATTTTTGTGATAATAACAGTAATACTGGAAATAGTAGACATCAGAAACTTGAAAGGTTATAAATAAACAATAAATTTTCATTGTACGATGTTCTTCAACATCCATTTATTCTTAAATGTTCATTCAGCAAGGACTAGATTTCAAGATTTCTGCCTTTGATTATTGTATATGACTGGAATGCAATTTTGTGACTTACTGATGGGAAACCAGTTTTAATCATTCATTCTATGTTTTCTTTCCAACAAAAATGAAAATATAAATAACGATCCTTCTTTATTATATTTTAACTTCACGCTATTATTTAATAGTACTTTTTTATTTTGACAGAATAGGGTTATTCTTTAATGACAACTTATTAGATTTAGGCAACTTCTCATACATTTTCCAGTGAATACTGTTGTCTGCCTATATTTTATTATTGATTTTTATTGATTAAACCTATTTTTTTTTTAATTTAAGCGATAAAAATATATAATAATAATAAATTAATGTTTTACCTGTTTTACAAATCCATATACTTTTATTAAAACTAACATATATACTTTTTAATTACGAATTCTAATAAAAATTGTATTTGTCAGTATACGCAGAAATATTTCATTAGTATCTAAACGAATTGGCGCTACTGTCACGCACGGAGCATCTTCTCAGACTATCATAAAATATACAGGGTGATTCAGAAAAGCATAGCATCCCGAATATTCGAATGTAGGATTTTGACTCGAAGACGAGAATGTTATGAAGCCTTGTCCAATACAATCAAAAATGGTTCTTCTAAAGATTTTAAAACTTGTTCTTTAAACCAATTTTCGGTATTTTTTGTAACAGCAAAGACCAAAATTGCATTCAATAAAAAGCCTTCCACGTGATCTGGTAACATCTAAAAACGCAGAGAAAGGGTCTAATTTGGCTTTTATGTCCACTATATATCAATATACTGTCAAAAATTGTCAACACGCTTTTATTCAATTTTTTATCAAATAACTAGAATAAAGATATATTTTGACATTCTATATGATACTCTTCACAGTTAAAGAACCCCCCTTTTAAAAATGTTTATTCAGATTTTTTAAAAATCAATAAGGTACGCTCCATTGTAAAGCTTTATTTTCCTGAAAAATTCAAGCTGATATTGTTTTTAGTTTTTGTCTTATGATTTTTTTTAAGTTTTAACCCTCCTTAGCTCCTATATTTCCAATCAGATTTTTATTTAAATCAATAGGCTTCGTCCCATTGCAGACCTTGATTCTTCCTTAAAAATTTCAAGCTAATATTGTTTTCTGTTTTTGATTTATGTTTTTGTTTTGAATATTAACCCCCCTTACACCTTCATTTTTAGTCAGGTTTTTTTTTTAATCAATAGACTTCGTTTCATTGCAGAGTTTGATTTTTCCTAAAAATTTCAAGTTGATATTGTTTTTCATTTTTGATTTGTGATTTTTTTCAAATTTTAACCTTCCTAACCCCTCCATTTTTGTTTAGGTTTTTTTTTTTAATAGGCTTCGTTATATATAATAACAAACAATAAACAATAAAAACAAACAATGAATAACTACTACAACAACAGCAACAATCACAGCAGCAACAAACAATAACAACAACAACAATCACAGCAACAGCAACAGCAACAGCAACAGCAACAGCAACAGCAACAGCAACAGCAACAGCAACAGCAACAGCAACAGCAACAGCAACAGCAACAGCAACAGCAACAGCAACAACAACAGCAACAACAACAGCAACAGCAACAGCAACAGCAACAGCAACAGCAACAGCAACAGCAACAGCAACAGCAACAGCAACAGCAACAGCAACAGCAACAGCAACAGCAACAGCAACAGCAACAGCAACAGCAACAGCAACAGCAACAGCAACAGCAACAGCAACAGCAACAGCAACAGCAACAGCAACAGCAACAGCAACAGCAACAGCAACAGCAACAGCAACAGCAACAGCAACAGCAACAGCAACAGCAACAGCAACAGCAACAGCAACAGCAACAGCAACAGCAACAGCAACAGCAACAGCAACAGCAACAGCAACAGCAACAGCAACAGCAACAGCAACAGCAACAGCAACAGCAACAGCAACAGCAACAGCAACAGCAACAGCAACAGCAACAGCAACAGCAACAGCAACAGCAACAGCAACAGCAACAGCAACAGCAACAGCAACAGCAACAGCAACAGCAACAGCAACAGCAACAGCAACAGCAACAGCAACAGCAACAGCAACAGCAACAGCAACAGCAACAGCAACAGCAACAGCAACAGCAACAGCAACAGCAACAGCAACAGCAACAGCAACAGCAACAGCAACAGCAACAGCAACAGCAACAGCAACAGCAACAGCAACAGCAACAGCAACAGCAACAGCAACAGCAACAGCAACAGCAACAGCAACAGCAACAGCAACAGCAACAGCAACAGCAACAGCAACAGCAACAGCAACAGCAACAGCAACAGCAACAGCAACAGCAACAGCAACAGCAACAGCAACAGCAACAGCAACAGCAACAGCAACAGCAACAGCAACAGCAACAGCAACAGCAACAGCAACAGCAACAGCAACAGCAACAGCAACAGCAACAGCAACAGCAACAGCAACAGCAACAGCAACAGCAACAGCAACAGCAACAGCAACAGCAACAGCAACAGCAACAGCAACAGCAACAGCAACAGCAACAGCAACAGCAACAGCAACAGCAACAGCAACAGCAACAGCAACAGCAACAGCAACAGCAACAGCAACAGCAACAGCAACAGCAACAGCAACAGCAACAGCAACAGCAACAGCAACAGCAACAGCAACAGCAACAGCAACAGCAACAGCAACAGCAACAGCAACAGCAACAGCAACAGCAACAGCAACAGCAACAGCAACAGCAACAGCAACAGCAACAGCAACAGCAACAGCAACAGCAACAGCAACAGCAACAGCAACAGCAACAGCAACAGCAACAGCAACAGCAACAGCAACAGCAACAGCAGCGACAGCGACAGCGACAGCGACAGCGACAGCGACAGCGACAGCGACAGCGACAGCGACAGCGACAGCGATAGCGACAGCGACAGCGACAGCGACAGCGACAGCGACAGCGACAGCGACAGCGACAGCGACAGCGACAGCGACAGCGACAGCGACAGCGACAGCGACAGCGACAGCGACAGCGACAGCGACAGCGACAGCGACAGCGACAGCGACAGCGACAGCGACAGCGACAGCGACAGCGACAGCGACAGCGACAGCGACAGCGACAGCGACAGCGACAGCGACAGCGACAGCGACAGCGACAGCGACAGCGACAGCGACAGCGACAGCGACAGCGACAGCGACAGCGACAGCGACAGCGACAGCGACAGCGACAGCGACAGCGACAGCGACAGCGACAGCGACAGCGACAGCGACAGCGACAGCGACAGCGACAGCGACAGCGACAGCGACAGCGACAGCGACAGCGACAGCGACAGCGACAGCGACAGCGACAGCGACAGCGACAGCGACAGCGACAGCGACAGCGACAGCGACAGCGACAGCGACAGCGACAGCGACAGCGACAGCGACAGCGACAGCGACAGCGACAGCGACAGCGACAGCGACAGCGACAGCGACAGCGACAGCGACAGCGACAGCGTACAGCGACAGCAACGGCAACAACAACGGCAACGACAACGACAACGACAACGGCAACTGCAACGGCAACGGCAACGGCTACGGCTACGGCTACGGCTACGGCTACGGCTACGGCTACGGCTACGGCTACGGCTACGGCTACGGCTACGGCTACGGCTACGGCTACGGCTACGGCTACGGCTACGGCTACGGCTACGGCTACGGCTACGGCTACGGCTACGGCTACGGCTACGGCTACGGCTACGGCTACGGCTACGGCTACGGCTACGGCTACGGCTACGGCTACGGCTACGGCTACGGCTACGGCTACGGCTACGGCTACGGCAACGGCAACGGCAACAGCAACAGAAACAGCAATAGAAACAGCGAATTTGACAGCGACAGCGATAAGAGCGACACTGGACATGACAGCGACAACAACGACAACAAAAACAACAACAAAAGGATTTTAAGTTAAAACAATTTGTAAATTGAATATTAATACAACAAAAATAAAAATTAATTAATTACAATCTAATAAATCAACGAAAATAGGATGAATGAAGAAATAATCAGTAATATTTGTATGTCTAACAAACAAGAGAAATAGTTTAAGAGACTACAGAAAATTTATATAATCATCATTAAAAATCATAAATTATGATAAACATATTTTTGAACTAGGTGCAATATTTTAAGTGAGTAAAATAGAAAAACAAATGCATCGTACCACACATTATGAGATTGTATTTAACAAATTAGTGACAATTAACAATATTTACATCAGAAACATAAAATAATTACTACAATAAAAAAGAAAAAACGTATGTAAACCAAAATGAGTCATTGCATTTTAAATTTTTGTAATTTCATCTAAAAATTATTTTTTAATTATATAATTTAAAACGATAACAAAAATAACAAATGTCAGGGCAGGATTCTCTTACTCGACCGATCATTGGTGTTATATTGCTATTATTTTAAATTTAATGCAAACCAGAAAGTTAAACATTTGAGGATAAGAAACGTTTTAGTACCAATCTTGTATTAAACTTAAATAGTAATCCTCAAAATGAGTCAATTTAAAAAAAAAATTATCTGTCTAATAACGTATTTAATCATAAAACAATCAACTACTCGTCAATCAGTTAGTGTTGTGAATGGTTTCATTTGTCGCACTGTTTTGATAAGGTAATTTGGAAATTATTTATTAAAGAACAACAAAACATTAAAGAAAATCACTATTTTTTCAGTTTTGAGTGTTATTTTTTATATTACATATGTCCTTTTATTAACTTTCTAAAGCCAAAATAATATAATGCTTATATCATAAAATTATAATTATTAAATAATTTCTATGTATCTAAATAACACCGAAAAAATTAAAGGAGTGATTCTGTGATGAAAATTAATGTGAGTGTTTAATATAAATTTTTTTGGAAAAACTCTCCCCGGAATAGTTACATCCCTTCGAAAATTAAAAAAAAATGGTTTTTCTTTTTTATTTTCCCTGTATATCAAGCTAAAGACACAAAACCTGGTAAACATTATCTGTCAATAACAGTACACTTTTTGAAATTTTTTCAACCCTGAAGTATGCTTAGAAGGGGTTGAAATAATCAACCCCTAAGATATTTTTTCTTACAACTTTTTTTAAGATGAAAATTTTTTCTTTAAAAAAGTATGAATAAAAAGCCCAATTCATTTACTAACTTTTTTATTTCTACAAGTTTTTTTCTAAAACTTAAGCATTTATGAGAAAAAAATAAATAAGCTCATGTAAAATAGCATTTTATTAAACAACAGCCAACCAAATTATGATTCTTAAGACTTCTACAACTAAAAACAAAAGTGAACAAACAATGAACAAAAAACGAATATCGACAATACAATTATAATAAATGTTGAAAATGACCGCCTTCGGCTTCAATACAAGCATCTACCCTTTTCCTCATAGAATTGCGTATACGATGAAATATTCCTGGAGAATTTCTTATAGTTTCACACTCTGCTACAATGCGGTTTCGCAGATCATCGATATTTTCAACTGGGTTTGTGTAAATCAAAGATTTCAGATATCCCCATATGCAAAAATCCAAAAGATTAAGGTCAGGGGAGCGGGCTGGCCAGTTTACAGGTCCTCCTCGACCTATCCATTGATTGGCATACACCTCATCCAGGTGAGTTCTTGCACGTATACTAAAATGAGCTGGTGCACCATCGTGCATAAACCATAAGTGTTGCCTAATTTGAATGGGAACCTCTTCAAGAAGAACAGGAAATTCTTCAAGGAGATGACAATATGATTCACCATTCGTAGCGGAAGAAAATGGGGACCATTTAAATGATTATCAATAATTCCGAGCCACACGTTTAATGAAAATTGATACTGATGATTTCCTTCAAAAAAGCCATGAGGATTTTCGTCAACCCAAAGGTGATTGTTGTGAAAATTTCTAATACAGTCTCTTGAGAAACTCGCCTCGTCAGTAAATAAAATATTACCTAAGAACTGTGGTGCTTGGCCAATCATATTAATAAGCCACTGACAAAAAATCACACGGAGTAAAAAATCTCGAATCATTAACGCCTGCACCCGTTTTAAAATTCTAAAAACAACGGAATGGCTTACATGTAGGACACGAGCTATTCTCCTGGTACTAGTTTCTGGGAATTCTTCAATTGAATTAAGTACGGCTTCTTCTACAGCTGCAGTTCTAACTTCTCTAGTACGACCAGAATCATAACTTCTTTTTTCAAAATCACCACGTTCCCGCAAGCGTCGGTGAATAGTTGTGAACGTAGTATGATGGGGTAGTCTACGCTGTAGGTACTGTTCAGCATAAAGTCTTTGCGCTTCCAATGAATTACCGTTAGCACGACAGTATGTAAAATGCATATCTGCCATTTCCAAATTCGAATATGCATTAATATTTTCAATCAACTAATATTTCCTACAATACACAATCATAAAACTTGTGAAACAATAAGATGGGTAACAGAAAATGACACTACACAATCCTGGTATCAGTATTAATGTTTTTATGCAAAGCACAGGCCACTAGACTTGACGCAAAATACACTCGCGTTAGCTCATCTTTTTGAAAATGCATTGCATTAGATTTTTTTTCTCGTAAATGCTCAAGTTTTAGAAAAACTTGTAGATTTAAAAAAGTTAGTCAATGAATTGGGCTTTTCAGTCATACTTTTTTAAAGAAAAAATTTTCATTTAAAAAAAAGTTGTAAGAAAAAATATCTTAGGGGTTGATCATTTCAACCCCTTCTAAGCATACTTCAGGGTTGAAATAATTTCAGAAAGTGTACTTTTATTGACTGATAATGTTTACCAAGTTTTGTGTCTTTAGCTTGATATACAGGGAAAATAAAAAAGAAAAACCATTATTTTTTTTAATTTTCGAAGGGGTGTAACTTTTCCGGGGAGGGTTTTTTCAAAAAATTTTATAGCAAATACTCACATTAATTTTCATCACAGAATCACCCCTTTAATTTTTTTTTGTGTTATTTAGATACGTAAGAGAATAAGAAAAATTCGTAAGTTGCTAATTTGGTGGACCTCACCTTAGCTGGATTGATGCCCCACGGGCAAACGCGTATCAGAAAAGAAACGATTTGATTATTGGCGACCAAAAGGCAATGAGAAGCAATGAGACATTTAATTTTCAGATTTTTGAAGCAATGGTGATACTTAGGCTAAACCATGTAGAAGTGTTTCAAATTGCTAACCCTGCTGTCTTCTATTTAGGGTACGATATCTAAAACCCAAAAAATTGAGCACTTTTATAGTGGTTTTGTCAGATTTATAAGGGCAACCGGGAACCAACTTTATTTAATTTTTAAACATTTGAAAATACAGCACGATAATATTAAAATAAAAACTAAAAACCTTTCTTCTAATATTCTCCATCATGCAGTGATCTAGACTTATTAGAAATCTTTGATTTCGATTTTTTCTTGGAAGACATTCCAAGCTCGAAATAACTTTTCTAATCAAAGATTTTGAAATTTTTGTCAGAGCGTGTATTTTTTCTATGACACAGTAATTAGATACATTATTTTCCAATTTTAATTTTTGATACATATTTCGAATAAATTTTTGATTTTAGGGTGACACCCACATACCAAATTTTTGGTCATTATCATCATTCTCCTCCTCTAATTCTTCTTTACTCTCATAAGAAACTCAGATGGGTTCTGCATAGAATTATGTAGGGTCAGTTGGGGTAAGAGCGCGTTGTTTGGGGTAAATATATTACTAAAAATCTAAATATTAACAGGAAAAAATAATTCCAGTGTGGAAAGATGCATTTACTTTATGTTAACGGTATCAATAAAAATTTAAAAACTATATTACTAAAATTTATCATACATATAAATGCCAATTATTTGTTTCATTTACGTGTACCATAAACGTTAAAATGGCAATCTTAATAAAGTATCATCTATTTACTAGTAATTAATATAAGTTTATTTAGCTAGTCACTTTTTTTAATAAAGTGTCCTCGTGCAATTTTTACATTTTTTACATTTTACATTATTAATATTTGACCCCCAGTTATTAAAGCCAAAAATTAACATTTTTCACTATGAAATTTATAGGTAAAATATAACCTTTTCTTTGTGAATAGGTAAACAATAATATAAACTGCCAAAACCGATTTTGATCTGTTTAAATTTTACAATTTTTGTGGGTATTTAAATATTAATTTAGTTGTATTCGTGGTGCAATTGATCCTATTTATTTAAAAAATTGAATTATAATTATTTACATAACTTTAGGGATTACATTATTTTCATCATTTTCAAAAGGCCCCCAAAAAGCCATTTTTTTATAAACCCAAATTCCAATTAGTAATGTGAATACGACATTGGATAAACAAAAATTGTCGATATGTGCTAACTGAACTCAGCGATGATAAATAGAAGCGAGCGGAATAACCAATTAGAACATAAATTGATCAAAATCACAGACTTACGATTGGATATTCCAGTCCACGTTGACCCGCGTTTCTTACGGGTTATTGTGGGCTACTACGAATAGAAATTTGAGAAAGGCTCGGTTCAGCCAATAGGAGACGCTGTTCATTATTAATCGAGCCGAAAGCTGCTCGTCGTGCAGCGATGCCAGGCATAAAATATATATGCCATACTAGCTCCGAATATATTTGTTCGAAGGGTACTATGCGCTAAACGATCACAGTTGTTTAGATGTAATGGAATTGAAAACATCACTTTTTTGCAGTTTGTCAACTGTGTTTTCTAAGTCTGAACGTAGGCAGTTTCTTTGTGAATTATACATAGATATATTAATAATACTGATATTTAATTGTGGAATAGTAAAATTTATCTCTGCCGTCCACTATACACATATGTAAACATTGAACTTTTAATTTCAACGATCAAGGCTCAAGTACTAATGAAATCAATCTTTTTTATTTTTTTGTTTGAAAAATAAAAAAAAATTGAAAAATACGTAGGTACATTGTTATTTATTTATTTTAAATACATTTTTTTATGATAATAACGTGCCATCGAGAAAAATCATAACAGCCGCGCTCTAAGGAATGGCCTCCCGGATAATTACAAACGTGAAGATACTATATTTCTTTAAGTACACAAAAATCCTAATAATAACGTGGTTTTGTACTAATATTTGATATTCCGCTATTAAACAGTTTTAAAAACTGCAAAATAGGAAAAAGATCCTCGACATACCTAAAAAAAAAAAACCTTTTTTTTATAATTGAAAAATTGAATAAGAACATTTCTTACATTAACCAATGTTGTTATAGTCAATGGGGTAAACTTTCCAATTGTTAATATTATAGGACGTTGCATACGAATCATTGTTATTAACATGGAACTTTTGAATCTTCTGCTAGAACTTAACCAGTTGCTGTGAAATAATTCTGTTCCAAGATAATGGCCCTATAACAAAAATTATTTTTATTCATAGTTAAACAAATAACTATTTAAAAAACAGCACCTTCTTTAACGTACAAAGGCATTGAAGGGCCACATTAAGAAAAATATTTTTTAAATGGTAACGTTAAATACTGGACTGTTATTCTAGAAATCTGGACAAAAAAAAGTATTTATTGAAATATGTACTTTAAAATAAGAAACATAACCTAATTACTAAAAGATACATTTCGAATAAATTGAATTAGATTGTCTGATAAAATAAAAGTATCAGATATAAAGGTGGCCATGCACGATAAGAAGAAAAATGTTAACCAAATTTTGCAAAATGGGAGATTCATCAACCAAATTAATTCTAGACGAAATTAAAAGAACTAGGGAAGAGTTGACAAAGGTCATAGAAGCTAGTAAGGTAAGACTTAGAAATAGAATTAGAAATAGAAGGACAAAATAATAAAATAAAACATTTAACTGAAGAAAATAACGAACTCAGAAATAACATCGAAAGGCTAGAATCAGAAAATATATAAATAATATTGTTATCTTTGGGCTCAGTAAACCTGCTGGAAACTTAACAGTCGATTTAATTTGTGAAGAAAAAAATCGATTTTAGGTGTGGATATTACCACGAACGAAATAAATAATTACTACCATCTTGGAAAAACTAACAATCCACCAATTAAAGTAGAATTAACCACATTTCTACAAAAGAAGGAAATACTTAAGAACTGCTACAAACTAAAGAATATTAATATAAATATCTCAAAAGAACAAAAAATACTTAGATATTACCTAAAGCTAAGAAAGGAAGAAAATAGATACGAGAAGTGTTTTAACAGAAGAAATAAATTAGTTCTTGACAACCAAACATTAACTGCAGAAGAATGGTTCCACCTGGAAAATACTGAGAGTCATATAAAAGCTTCTAGTGAACCAAGCACTCCAACGCTGGAAGTAGAAGAAATAAATAAGAAGATTACTGTAGACGCAAATTAATCCGAAAAAAGATAATTTGTTGTTAATCATAAAATAAAGCTTTTATTTTTTTTTTTTTACTTTGGTATCATCGGCTTCGACTACTAAGTTTTTATTATTATTATTATACATTGTAATTTTAAGTCTAAATTAACGAAGAAAATATTTTCTTCACTTCTTCCAAAGTATAAAAAAGATTTTTAAAATCCAGTTAGTCAATCTCGCTATTACAGGATAGCATAAGAATTTGTAAAGTTGATAAAACTTACTTAAAGTTTCTTTTAGCTACTACGAGCCCAAACAACTTTCCTGTCTAGTTATTACAAGCTTTTTCCGGTTATTTTGTACAACCTATTGTATTACCCTTGTAAATGTTTAAAGGATGAACTAAATAGGTATATACATTTTTCACACACATCTTACTTAAAACATTTTTTATGTATATTTATTGCCAAAGAAAATACCAGAAAATTAAAATTTTGTACTTTTCCTCAGATTTTTCCATTACGGTCCGTTTTAGAGAAATCATGTATAAAACAAAACCTACAGAGATCGATATCGCAAACAACTTTTAGTTAAACAATTTTTCAAAAAAATCTTATTTTGCACATTTAATCAACTTTCTTGAATACAGACCAGTTTAAGAAAATTATATACAGGGTGTTTCAGATTTAAACGGACACAGCTTAATGAGAGGTAGAGTACACTTGGCTGAATTCAAAACACCCCTATACTTTGCCTTTAATCTTACTCGTTTCTGAGATATAGGGTGTTTTATGATTTTTTGCCAAAACAAAAATCGGACATTTTGTTTGAACGGCTAGAGTTATTTTGATAAAATGTTGTACAAAAGTTACAATCTCTTAGATCAATCAAAACCATAATTTAATTTTAATAAATTCCAGGACCGGACTCTCTTTTTTTATATTGTTCTTCTTGGCTAGAATATCGCCCTCTATATCGGTACCGCCTCGACCTATCCAGCGACTTGAACACATATTAAATATTTGGTGTGGAATTTTTAAAAAATCACTTAATACCCAAGCACTGTTAAATCATCGTTTCCCAAATATATGGATAGGTCGAGGCATTCCCGTCAATTAGCCACCAAGATCTCCAGATCTTACACCTCTGGATTATTTTTTATGGGGCTATCTTAAATCAGCGGTGTACAACGAAGAAATGAATACTCGAGCACATGTATTGGAAAAAATTAACAATGTATGTAACAACATTGGAAATAAACCGAAAATAATTGACAAATCAGTAAAGAACCTGTTAAAACGTTAGCAGAGGTGTACTGACGTTCACAGTGTTCATTTTGAAAATCTACTTTAGCTTTAATTAATTATTTGTTTCTGTTAGTTTGTTCTATTATTTTATTAAATAAAGTGAGCCCGGTCCTGTGTAGATGTTCAATTTCCTAATGGAAAATGCTGTAGTTAAAAAAATTAAAATGGTACCTAATTTGTGTAGAGTTTTAAAAGTACAGAGTAAAATATTTGATTTTAATTTTGTAAATACTGATTTATAATAATGTAGTCGCCAATATAAAAATTTATTGTAAGAACATCAAGATGGTGCCATTAAATATTATTTTATTATTTTATTTGTTGATCCACGTACTATTTAAATGTGCAGTAACATTTATTAAAATCTAATATACAGGGTGATATTCTAGGCAAGAAGAGCAATATAAAAAAAGAAAGTCCGGTCCTGGAATTTTTTAAAATTAAATTATGGTTTTGATTGACCTAAGAGAGTGTAACTTTTGTACAAAATTTTATCAAAATAATTCTAGACGTTCAAACAATATATCTGATTTTAGTTTTGGCAAAAAATCATAAAACATCCTATATCTCAGAAACGAGTAAGATTAAAGGCTAAGTACAGGGGTGTTTTGAACTTAGCTAAGTGTACTCTACCTCCCATTAAGCTGTGTCCGTTTAAATCTGAAACACCCTGTATATTACAAAAATTATAGAGAACATTTCAAGCAACTTTTATTTTAAGAATTTTCTTCTCCAAGCGTAAATAACAATTACATTCCATAAAGTAGAAAAACGACCCTCCATAAAGTAGAAAAACGACCCACCATAAATTACCCACCCAGATGTTCCTACTATGCCCAAAATTTATTCAGCAGGATTTTTAAAAACTTAACATTTAAAATTTGGTGTATTTTTCTTTATCCGTTTTTGAGTTATCTTCAAAATTCGAAATTTGCACATTTTCTTAAATATCTCGATTGCGGTCCATTTAAGAAAAATTATTTATAAGACAAAAATTATAGAGAAATATACCAGAAACAACGTTTGCACTTTTTGTCAAATTTCTCGAATACGGACCAATTTAATAAAATTATGTTTATATAAAACTATATGGTATTTAGTTTACCCCTCGTAATTATTTGTCATAGAATTATATATTTTTATTAATATTTAAGTGCCATCCATTTCATTATTCATTCATGCTCTAATCCCCCAAGACCCTCTGTCTTTTTTGGCCTTTGAGGCTCAACTAGTCCGATTATCATACATAATAAAACCCCTTAAGACCAAACATATGTGAGGACTATGGCGAAGGCGCGTTCGAGTACATTTCAGATTGAACGTGATAATGTTACTAGTGTTGGTGAGAACATTCTAGTACCTTTGCCAAAATTTTGAATGTGTATATAAATATTGATGGAGGAACACGGAGCAGTCAGTTGTATACAAATAGTTGTGAAGATAAATAGTGAACAGTTTAAAGACATCCGAAATATATAAATTAGAATAGTATTGTTTAAAATAAATAAGTGTTCCAAAAAATTATTAACAAATAAACTTTTGTTCAAAATAAACAAACATCACAGTATTTAATAATTGTTGCAAGCAATAAAGAAGCAGAGCCATGAACATTTCTATTGTTTATTTTTAATATTTATTGAATTAAAAATATTGAGTAAAAGTGAAATATCTATTTCTCAGGAGTGACTATTACGAGATTTGATTTAATTATTTTCTCAAAAATTATCAAAATGTTTACAGATTTTATGCGATTTTTACGATTTTTGCGATTTTTTGTCGTCAAAAGTTGATAAAATTTTGACAAAGTGGCTCCAGAGGAACATGTTTAATGTTTACTTACGCGTAAATGTTTTTAATTTCACTAAAACAATAAAATTAAGTGAAATTTTAGATAACTATATTTCGTATTAGATAAAAAATATTAATTGCAAAAGTAAATTCTCCTCTTAGTAAAAGTAAAAAATTCACGCCTATTTTTAAATATACTACGGGTAACTACATTACCGACAAAGTAATAGTTAATATTACAGGTAGCTGCATTACCGACAGAGTAGGATTGGTACAAAACAAAGGTATAATAAGATGTCTATGGTTCGGGTGCGGGTACTCGCAGATCGCTGCAAGCAAACTTGCTTCCAAATTTCTACAAATACACGGTAACTCTTAACTATCCTTTCTTCATGGAATAGAGTTCATTCCATTAATTGCAAACTATTTCGTTTTCATGATCGTGCTCACCTCTTGTGTAAGATCAACTTTTGCTGTGACTTCTCTTGGATCTTTTCCCTTCTATTTTTTCTTACCTTCGGCTTTGTCTTTTATTTCATCTAAGTTGGGTGTGGAATTTTTCAAAGCTTTCTAGACGACTAGACAGTTGTTGACAAGTTTCAGATGCATTGAAGACGTTTTGGAACTTAAATTGATTTTCAAGTAATACTTCTTGCATGTTAACGTCAAAACGTTCTTGAAGACTGTACAATGGTTAATATTTCAGATGTATTCGAGATGTTTTTCTAACTCATATTGGATCTACCTGGTTAATTTTCAGGAATATTAGGTTTTAAAGAATGTATTCCTGTACTCTTAAACCCACTAATTGTTTTTCTCATTACCGCCGCTATTTCGTAGGCTGTTGCAAATAACCTACCAAATTGATGTACTGATACGGTCCTTCCTGGATTACTTTTCATCCAATTAGAGACTACCTTATTATAATATGTTAATAAAGGTCCAAAAAATGCCACATCGTGTGGCTGAATTCAGTGGGGTGCAATGTGTTTTTTTTTGTGTTATTTGTGGTTGTTTTAACGATATCTTGGGATTTCTTTCACGAAAACCGTGTAGCTAGTCCTATCCTGCAATTTGTTCTGAATTATTAAACCAATGTTTTATTTTATTAATTTTGGAAAATTGTTAAGCTATGTGACGTATTTCTATAGTAGTAATACAGTAGAATCAATGCCATACCGATCATGTTGCAAGACCTCGCTCTGCTCGTCCTGCAAATATTCACTAGTCACATAAAATTAAGGCTGGTTTCATAAATAGCTATTATTGATTTATTTAAAACTTTAAAAATAACGGTTATTGTGTTTTAGATTGTGGTAGCCACACTGGATTTGCTCTAAAATTCTTTATTGGAAGAAGTAAAAACAATATTTTTCTCGTATACAGCTTGTGCAAAGATTAATTTCGATTTAAAGTCCAAATTTCGTGTTTAAAGTCAGAATTACTAGTTCAAAGTTGGAATTTCAACTTTAAATTATCCAACCATGCGCGGGGATTTCTACTGCAATTTTTTTTTTTTTTTTAATGGTTTATGAAACACAAATACGATCATTAAAATATTGGAAGATCAGGTTTAAAAATACCTACGGCTATGGTTATTTCATTTGCAGCCCAACACATTGTAGCTAATTGGATGAGTATGCTAATAAAAAACTCCATTTGGGCGAAAAATTCGGGCGATGACATAGGTACCTAAAATACAAAATGATTTTAAGAATTTTTTTTATTAGATGTTTTATTGAAACTTACAATAGAAGCGACGAACATGCAAGAAGCAAACATAAATAGTGATGATAATGTTTGAAACAGGGTCACAAAAGTTAGTAGTCCTTCAATATCATCTCGAACACTAGAAGAAAATTAATTTTAATTATAGTTAAATATTTATTTCCTAATCCAATAAGACCTCTGAAGTCAATGTTGGGTCCACTGACCTCTTCAATAACATCAATTCTCAAAAATTGATTATTTACGCCAATGACACGTCATTACCCATCTCTACATTGACCCCAGTGGTTCTTAAAGTATCGGTAAAAAATATTGTAAATTATTTTATTGCCAACCGTGAATAAAGCCATACATTACCACAGCGATTTGCGGAAGTAAACAAACACTTTATCTTCCTCTAAAGATAAAAAAATTTATCTGCGCTAATATTTAACAAGATAATAACGGCCGTCTGACAGAAATAGTATGTAACTGATTTGTCATGTTTTTATAATTATAATTATTTGCGGTTGGGGATAAAAATTTGTATGACCCACGTCAGCAAAGTGTCTTTATCGAACTCGCCTTGCTCGCTTCTCTCGCTCGGCTCATAATATCAGACTAGTTCGATAAACAACCACTTTCCTGACTTGGTACATAAATAATTATTATTAATTGAAATAAAACAAATGGATTAATGGCCAATGTTGGTAAAACTGAATTTGTATATTTTTATTCCCATAATATAATAAATGTATCATACTTTTTAAAGGACCCCGCAATAATCTTATGGAAATTGGGTTTCTGTCAAATTGTCTGAATTTTTGATATGTTGTAGATTTTGTCATCCTGAACAAAAGTCTCCATGGGCACAAAGTGCCAAAATGAATATTTTGGCAGCTACGGAGCTGCCAAAGCTCCCCTGATCCATTGCAGAACAATTCATTTTCAATACTATTTACAGATGTCAAAAGCATATTTTAATTATTCTAATGTATAGGGTAATGTTTTTGAGGTCACTGGATTCAACCCTCATGTCAGATTGGACAAATTGACCGTTGATAGCTGTCAATTCACTGTCAACGAGGAATATAAAAGTAAATATTTTTTTTCACATTGAGAGTTTGGGTTTTTGAGGTTGCTGAATTCAATTCTCATGTCAGATTGGACAAATTGACCGTTGACAGCTGTCAATTCACTGTCAACAAAGAATAGAGAAGTAAATATTCTCTTTTGACATTGAGAGTTTGGGTTCTTGAGGTCGCTGAATTTAATTCTTATGCCAGTTGGAAAAATTGACAGTTGACAGCTGTCAATTACCATTTTCTCCAATTCTAAAAAGAATTGAATTTAGCGAGTTGGCCAGCATAAACTCTCAATGTAAAAAGAGGACATTTACTTTTATATTCCTCGTTGACAGTGAATTGACAGCTTTCAACGATCTATTTGTCCAATCTGACATGAGAATTGAATTCAGCGACCTCAAAAACCCAAACTCTCAATGTGAAAAGAGGATATTTACTTTTATATTCCTCGTTGACAGTCAATTGACAGCTGTCAACTGTTAATTTTGCTAATCTGGCATGAGAATTGAATTCAGCGACCTCAAGAATCCAAACTTTCAATGTCAAAAGAGAATATTTACTTCTCTATTCTTCGTTGACAGTGAACTGATAGCTGTCAAGGGTCAATTTATCCAATCTGACATGAGAATTGAATTCAGCGACCTCAAAAATCCAAACTCTCAATGTGAAAAGAGGATATTTAATTTTATATTCCTCGTTGACAGTGTATTGACAGCTGTCAACGGTCAATTTGTCCAATCTGACATGAGGATTAAATCCAGTGACCTCAAAAACATTACTCTATATATTAGAATAATTAAGATATGCTTTTGTAATATAGTATCTGTAAATAGTATTGAAAATGAATAGTTTTGCAACGGATCAGGGGAGCTTTTACAGCTCCGTAGCTGCCAAAATATTTATTTTGGCACTTTGTGCCCATGGAGACTTTTGTTCAGGATGATAAAATATACAACATATCAAAGATTCAGACAATTTGACAGAAACCCAATTTCCATAAGATTATTGCGGGGTCCTTTAGAATTAGTTATGACTTAATAATATTAACCGTTACAAAAAAATGTTGGTTACATATTGAATGCAATCTTCGATAAACTTTGCAAGTAAATAAAGTTAATAACAAAGCTTTATATGAAATATCCAGATTAAAAAATAGTACCTTCGACAATTAATTATTTCATTGATAAATTCACTTGATTATCTGTAAGGCTGGAAATTTACTTTTATTTATAATATCCACTCACAATAATTTAAAACATAAATATACATGGTAATAAAAATTAGGACAACAAATTTCAACCAATTTTAACAAACTTCAACAAATTTCAACATATTTCAACAAATTTTAACAAATTTTAACGAAGTTTAACAAATTTTAACAAATTTAAAAAACCTCATTAAATTTTGACAAATTTTAACAAATTTCAACTAATTTCAACAGATTTCAACCTATTTCAATAATTTTCAACAAATTTGAACAAATTTCAACAAATTTTAACAAACTTCAACAAATTTTAACAAATTTCAACAAGTTTCAACAAATTTCAACAAATTTCAACAAATTTCAACAAATTTCAACAAATTTCAACAAATTTCAACAAATTTCAACTAATTTCAACTAATTACAACTAATTTCAACTAATTTCAACTAATTTCAACTAATTTCAACTAATTTTAACATATTTCATCAAATTTCAACAAATTTTAACAAATTTCAATAAATTTTAACAAATTTTAACAAATTTTAACAAATTTTAACAAATTTTAACAAATTTAAACAAATTTTAACAAATTTAAACAAATTTTAACAAATTTTAACAAATTTTAACAAATTTTAACAAATTTTAACAAATTTTAACAAATTTTAACAAATTTTAACAAATTTTAACAAATTTTAACAAATTTTAACAAATTTTAACAAATTTTAACAAATTTTAACAAATTTTAACAAATTTTAACAAATTTTAACAAATTTTAACAAATTTTAACAAATTTTAACAAATTTTAACAAATTTTAACAAATTTTAACAAATTTTAACAAATTTTAACAAATTTTAACAAATTTTAACAAATTTTAACAAATTTTAACAAATTTTAACAAATTTCAACAAATTCCAATTTTTTTTTTTATTTCAAATATTTTAACAAATTCTAAAATATTTTAACAAATTTTAAAAAATTTAAACAAAGTCAAATTAATTTTAACAAATTTCAACAAATTTCAACAAATTTCAACAAATTTAAACAAATTTCAACAAATTTCAACAAATTTCAACAAATTTTAACAAATTTCAACAAATTTCAGCATTTCAACAAATTTTTTACAAATTTTAACAAATTTTAACAAATTTTAACAAATTTTAACAAATTTTAACAAATTTTAACAAATTTTAACAAATTTTAACAAATTTTAACAAATTTTAACAAATTTTAACAAATTTTAACAAATTTTAACAAATTTTAACAAATTTTAACAAATTTTAACAAATTTTAACAAATTTTAACAAATTTTAACAAATTTTAACAAATTTTAACAAATTTTAACAAATTTTAACAAATTTTAACAAATTTTAACAAATTTTAACAAATTTTAACAAATTTTAACAAATTTTAACAAATTTTAACAAATTTTAACAAATTTTAACAAATTTTAACAAATTTTAACAAATTTTAACAAATTTTAACAAATTTTAACAAATTTCAACAAAAATCAACAAATTTTAACACATTCAAACAAATTTTAAAAAATATCAACATATTTTAACGAATTTTAACGAATTTCAACAAATTACAATAACAAGTTTCTTTATAGAATTTGTCGGAATGATCTCATTTTCTAAATTTATTCTTTGCCGAAAATTAACATCCACTCTACATAATAAATTTTCTGTATTTCTTATAAATTTGCATTTACTTTTCCGTTCGTTAATAATAGAAAATGCTTCTCTATGAAGCACCATACGATAAGAAAATTTTATATTATTATATTATATTTTATACCTCACTTTGTTTAGTCTCTTACACTTTGATATATTTCTAGCCTCTATTCAGTATTGACTATAGCTTTAAACATCTAGAATCTGTACTAAAATTATACCTAGAGCAAATCTGCAAGTTTTTTCTTAAAAATCTAAACCTTTTACCAGGAGTTCGGATTTTTTTTTTCACTATTTTTCCACAAAAAAGGCACTTCATCTTGGTTACATAAAATAAAAAAAAAATTGGGAATAACATCCGGTTTGCCATATTATTTTCCCAAAACGTTAACGAAAATATTACAGATTAGTGTATAAAACAGCTAAAAAGCAAATAGTTTTAGATACATGGGATTGAAATTATACAATCATCCACTCCAAGATATTAAAGAAATTAAGTCCTTGAGTGTATTAATATTTTAATAAATTAAATAAATAATGTTAAGATTAACACTTGAGGAGTTACTACTGGAAATAAAAGTTTTATGTAAGCCCCTTTTTCAAAATATCCGCAAGATATTTGGAAATAGTTTCGTACATCATGGTTTCAGGAAAGCTTACAACAGGTAAACATATTTACTAGCCCAAGAACCTCACCAAATTCTTGTTATACTAAATTTCTTTAGATTACGAAATTTTTCTCTTAATTTCATTGAAGGTGCAATTTTTTTTACTCACGTCCCACTTGATAAACCTACCTAAATAACAATTGTGTATGCTTAATAACGTGGTTAAATTGACAGTACATTTCATTTTCCAATTCAGGATATTCATCGTCGCGCATAATTTCCATATTTTCCTGCATTTTTAATTTTCTTAAACTACGTTGACGGATTGTGGAAATTACATGACTTGCTATTACCAATTGTACTTTCAAACATTTTAGCATTCCTACGAAGAGACCGTCATAGTCTACAAGAAAAAACATAATTTAAATATAAATGTTTCCGCAACCATGGATATTGGATAAGTGATATTTAACCAAACCAGTGTAGTTAAGAAATATAATGATTTTCAGAATGTTAATCGAAAAATCGTAAAATCGTAAAATCGTAAAATCGTAAAATCGTAAAATCGTAAAATCGTAAAATCGTAAAATCGTAAAATCGTAAAATCGTAAAATCGTAAAATCGTAAAATCGTAAAATCGTAAAATCGTAAAATCGTAAAATCGTAAAATCGTAAAATCGTAAAATCGTAAAATCGTAAAATCGTAAAATCGTAAAATCGTAAAATCGTAAAATCGTAAAATCGTAAAATCGTAAATTCGTAAAATCGTAAAATCGTAAAATCGTAAAATCGTAAAATCGTAAAATCGTAAAATCGTAAAATCGTAAAATCGTAAAATCGTTAAATCGTAAAATCGTAAAATCGTAAAATCGTAAAATCGAATAATCGTAAAATCGAAAAATCGAATAATCGAAAAATCAAAAAATCGAAAAATCGAAAAATCAAAAAATCGAAAAATCGAAAAATCGAATAATCGAAAAATCGAAAAATCGAAAAATCGAAAAATCGAAAAATCGAAAAATCGAAAAATCGAAAAATCGAAAAATCGAAAAATCGAAAAATCGAAAAATCGAAAAATCGAAAAATCGAAAAATCGAAAAATCGAAAAATCGAAAAATCGAAAAATCGAAAAATCGAAAAATCGAAAAATCGAAAAATCGAAAAATCGAAAAATCGAAAAATCGAAAAATCGAAAAATCGAAAAATCGAAAAATCGAAAAATCGAAAAATCAAAAAATCGAAAAATCGAAAAATCGAAAAATCGAAAAATCGAAAAATCGAAAAATCGAAAAATCGAAAAATCGAAAAATTGAAAAATCGAAAAATCGAAAAATCGAAAAATCGTAAAATAGAAAAATCGAAAAACAAATTCCGTAACGAAAATAAACCTAACACTCCGACCGGCACAGCGGTGCTGCGTTGAAAGCCGTGCGTCTAACGTCGTTTCAGTTCGGCAGATTTCGGCACGGTGTTTGTGTGCGTGCGACTAGACGTATGCATGTATACTAGCTTCTAACTGCTCATAGACACAATTTCGGAAAAATTGAATTTGAAAATGAATAATGATCCACAAGAATCCACAACAAAATATGGGACCATCATTGACGCGGTATTTTCCAGATATTTAGAGGATATCAAGTCTCAAACTTGTGTTTCTTATTTCAGTTACCATAAACCTACATGTATTGTAGGATAATAAAAATATTTTAAACAATAATAACTTCTCATTTATTCAATAAAAGAAAAAAATTTGTTTTCTTATCGGTCACCACGCTCAAAAAGTGTAACTTGAATTAATATCAAAGAAAAAAAATACTGCATAAATTAAATAAATAAATAAATAATTATAATTGCATAAGTTGATAAAAAATGCTATGCAATAGCTTTATCGCGGCAGTCCCCGAGTGCCACACGTATTTTTATTTGTTTTAACAAAGATATACTGTACCGTTAACACTACAAATTAAATTAATTTGGATAATACAAAGTGATCCAAAAATACGAATTTTATTAAAGTTGTTTTTCTTTTAAATGGAACACCCTGTATTTGATGGTGTCTTTTGATTTCATGGAAAAATAAAGTAAAGTTTCTGTAATATTTCCTATACCTATCTCATTTGTTTTTGGAACTGTCAAAGGATTTTTAATTTTTAAGTTTCAATAACCTAGTATGTTGAGGTAAGTCAAATGGCATCATCAATCATCCTTAAGTCGCCCCGGAGCGCCACGGCAAATAATAATAATAGCCGTCCCTTCCCCTACACAAGTCGTTCAGTCGACTTCAGGGGTTGAAATTCACTCGTAAGGGGGTGAATTAGGGAGAGTATTATTATTATTATTATAATCACCTGTGATATGCATAGCCAACTATATTAAAGTATCGAATAAAATGCAAAGGAGGGTATCGTTTCAAATGGCTATTTTGGGCTAAAACGGAAAATATTTTTACGTTTGACTAATTTAAAAATCTGGGAGAAAAAAACAAAAAATTACTTTTATATTAAAGCTATGAGCTTAAAATGCATTTCTATTACTTAAAACTCTACTTTATTTTCTATTTAACGTGTAGGCGTATATTTTCTATTAAAATAAAAATTAAATAGAGGATTAAGGCAAATTATTAAAGAAAACTTATTTAATGCAAAAAGAACTGCAAAAATTTAAGCAAAATAGATCACTGATATTTTTAAAACTAGTATATCCGTCTGAAAAGGACCGAATATTTAATAATGTTTAACTGAAAAATGTAAGAATTGAAAAAAAATTGATATTTATTAAAAATCTAAGTTGATGAAACTAATTTTTTAACATGGCAACTGCGCATTTCTTTTAGATCCGTGGCAATAATAACGTGGTTAATAAAGTAGTTAAGTAACACATTTTACAATAATAACAAGTTGAGAAAAAACAATTATACAAGAAATCAAAATAATTAATATGAATAAAAACTATAAAAAAACTATTATTTTTTCTTGTAATTGGATTACAGCCTAGGTTATTTCTTGTATAAAAGAGAAACATAATCAAGTATGTTCGTTTCAAAATTCCAATTTTAAAATACTGTTTTGTATTTCTGTACATCTAGAGTATGTTCTGGTATCAGCGTGTGTCAGCTATTCTTGTGTTATTTAGAAAAACTATCTGTTTCTATTCCTGCGTTATTGTTTTATTGTATTATTGTTTCTCTTTATGTGTTATTTAAAACAAACTATATCTGTTTTACATCACTCTTCATTATAATGGTTTCAATAAAATGTTTCGGCTCTGATAATTACATAAACAATAATCCAAGATATCAAATATAGGATGTTCCATTTAAAAAACAAAACTTTGTTATTAATTATTATTTTTGGATCATCCTGTAAAATCCAAAATTATTTTTATTCTGTGTGTTTATGGCCCTGTACATCCTTGTTAAAAAAAATACATTTAAATATTAAGCCGTTTTCACCACCCTGTAAAATCCCAAACAGCACCACAACCAGATGGATGGCTCAAATGCTCTCTACGAGAACTGCAAATTGGGCAGGACTACATTTCCATCTGCACAACCAAAGGATGTTTACAAGAAGGAGTTCTGCACCAATTAATGTAAAGCCTAACCGTAGACGAGCTTCAATACAGATTGACTGACTTCGGCATACCCTTTCCAGGTTATGCCAACGACAGTCATATTTGCTAGACGCATGTTTGAATATTATGTGCAAAGAGTACTAGAATTAATCAAAAGGTGGGAAAAAGGAAAAAAGGAAAAACCCCACTAAAACAACACTAGTAGCCTTTTTAAGGAAAAAAAGCAATCAAATATCTAGACTTAACCTGGACAACAAACTTCTCTGGAACATACATGAGAAGGTATTAGTAAATAATGCCACAAAATCCCCAATGTTAGGTAGAAACATTGCTGGTAAACGGAACACACTTCAATTGATTTATACAGCAATATTGAGATCAACGATTACTTACAGGGCTTAAGCCTGGAATAACAGAACTAGTTTAGCTATTACAAGAGCTAATATCTCAAAAGACTAGCTTATGCAATAAAAATCTGTCTTATGACCGCAATGGGGGTGATTTGAAACCTTACCCCTCTATATTTATTAAAAGAGGATGTGGCAAGAAGGACAAGATGTAGAATGATCAATAACGGACTAATCAGAAGAAAATCTATTAGCTTCAGGATCAAATATACTCAGGAAACTTGAAAACCACAGCGTTGGGCTGCAAAACTATAGAAGGAATAGGAATAGAAGTGTATGCGCCTAGAACCAGGCACTCTGAATGTTTGGGTATAGACCTAAACATCTTCCTAGTGAAAATGTACGCCATTGAGAAGTGTATCCAGTTCAATATGGAGACGCTCGATAGCATCAAAACGCTGAGCTCTTACATACTTAGCTCAAAAACGGTTTAAAGATCCCTAGAAAAACTGAATGAGCTAGGCGAGGAAAATACAGTTACTCTCACTTTGGTCCCGGGAGACATAACGGGGTAAATGCAGATAGTCTCGCAAAGAAAAGAACTTAAAAGACCTTTGTGGGACTTAAGCCGTTTTGCAGTATCAACAGTAATACAATATTTGAAGAGATTAAAAAAGAACTGGACAGTAAAAGCACCGATAATTGGACCAATCTCTTGGGGTTAAGACAGGCTAAAATACTTTTGGGGGAATATAACCAGGAAAGTTGGGAAGCCTCTATCAGCCTGAGCAAGTGCAGGCTACGCATTGTAACAGGGATCCTTACCGGGGGCATTGCTGACTAAAAGGACACCTTAATAAACTGAGAGTAGTAGAAGATAGTGAGTGCAGATTCTGTGAGGAGGAGCAGCAGAAGAATTGAAACAATCTCTTAGGGTTAAGATACTTCTGGGTGAATATAATCAAAAAAGATCGGAAGCCTACATCAGCCTGAACAAGAACAGGTTATGTATTGTAACAAGGATCTTTACCGGATATTGCCGACTCAATGGATACTTTAGTAAAACTGAGAGTAGTAGAGAATAGGGCATATTCTGTGTGAAGGACGAAACCTCGATTCACATTCTGACTGAATGTGTAGCACTCCAGAATCCTAGGGCACTAAACTTAAAAGCATATCAAATAGAAGAAGGCGATCTACCTAACTTAAAGCCTCTCCATATTATACACTTCCTTGAAAAGAAGATTAGCTACAAAAAAGAGCACTATAGATATTTTATGTCGTAGGGCGTTAATTCCTCATACCTAACATTACATAATCCCATACAAAATTAGAAAATATATCCCCACATCCGAAAAGTAAAAACAAACTAAATAAAAATTGAAAATGCTGAAAAAATAAAAAAAAAATGATCGCATCGACCATGGATCGAACCTGGAATCTCCGATTTGAGCCCTCGGCCTCTCTACCAATTTGACCTTCGATTAAATAAAGTGAATTTGGATAAATAAAAATCTTCATTTTCTTCTATTACCAGTATGTACAATGTACAGATCAAATACTCTCTTGAAAAATAAAATATATAAAATTCGCCTTTCTTATGACATGAGTATAATTTATTGCTTTTAAAGCCATATACGATCAGGGCCATGAAAGCCACGGTGGGCCCCGGGACATTTTTATACAAAAATCAAAATCAAGTCCTTTCTATGTTGTATTTCTAAAAAGTCCTCAAGCAACATCAGATCCTTTCTTAGTGAAATCTAAAAAAAAAGGTCCCCGCCTGGTATTTTTCGTAAACCAGGTGTTCGATACCTGCCGTTAAATAAAAGTTTTGCCACCCATGTGTATAAGCCTTAATTTTATGGTCTTTTTGTTAGTGTTGATTTTCAATAATTTCATGTCATGTTTCGGATTATATAATAAAGTACATTATTTTCCCAATCGTTTTATATAGAGTCCATTTAATCGAGCTCAGCCCGCAGTGGCACACCAGATCCTCCCTTTTTCGTAAACCAGGTCCTTCCTTTTGTGGCGAACTTCAAAAAAAAATAAAAGGTCCTCAGCTAAAGCGCTGCCGGGCTTCCCTTGTGCCCGGACCCCGGAAATTTGTCCTGGCTACCCCCCTCTCGTCGGGCCTGTATACGATTAAGTACTTCACAAAAATAACCAATAAAATAGGCAGATAATAATATTAATATTAAATTTATATAGTATAGGTACTTACAAGAAATGATGAAAGCCCATGTAGCAAAACTCAAGTCCAAAAACGTCAAAGCCAGAATGCAATTACGTTTCGATTCTGTAGGAAAAGGAATACGAAAATTATAGGGCATGAAATCATAACAAGTATGGTTGGTGCCCTCGAAAGTATCGCCAGGAATATTTCTGTTCATTGTCACCAATGATGTAATATGAGCAGATATGCCAACGAAAGAGTACATACCAGAAATCTACAAAAACAAAATTTGGCCAACTTTATTTGTTTGAGCGAAGATGGCAGTTATTTAGTCGAGGAAAGTTTTTCGAAAAATATAAACAACCTCCAATAAAAAAAAACCGGTGACCTATTCAACTTTCACCAAATCATAATTAATTAAGAGCACAATAATAGTATTTCTTCATCAATGCCCCTACTTTAATTGCAACTAAAATGCAATTAGCCTATGCGTTTAGCAGAAAAAATCTGATAAGTTTGTGTTTTAGTTTTATTTTCATAATCTGTTAAACATTTTTGCATTTTAAGGCACACACATTTAATAAAGTCACAGGTAAAGAAACTGTATACTGTGTTAAAGTCATTTTACCTTTAAGAATATTTAATTTTATTTTTATAAAAAAAAGTACAGAAATATGGACGGTAAGAAGATCTTCGTTGGTTCAGTAGATGCCAATACCTTAATTTTCGCTTTACAAACACCAACGAAGCTTGAGGCCTGGCATCTGGCATCCGAAAGAAGTTTGATCGATTGCCAGAACTTCAAGATCAGTTACTAGTTAGTTACTAGCATTGAAACTTCAAGATGGATCGCATTATCTTTTCTATTTGGTAAAAAAGAACTCCTTCAGAGATAGATTTACTTATCATGATGTACGGGAAGCATTACTCAGTCTGAGAGAGCACGTACTGGAATCCAATGTACAAAATTAGCCATGTCTAAGATAGAGAGCAACCAACTAAATTGGAGGATCATTAGAAACATGGTAAAAGTAATCTTTCAACATACTGAGGTTTAAATATTAGTCTGGAGCCATTCATCCAGTGGCCTGGTTTTAGCGAAAACCATCCCTTGTTATTTCCATGCAAATGGAAATTGTAAAAAAGGGTCCAGTTGCAGATACAACCATGCAGTTTTAGTAACAGTTACAGGAGAAACTATCTCTTAGAAAGGGGGTAATGTCGTGTAACCAGCTTAAGCCGACTCTAATCCCCTTTGCCGTTACAGCGTCGCTTTGTCGTGAAGCTACCAGAGAAAACAGTGCGTGGCAGCTGGGTTCTAGAGGCAGAAATTTCGGAGATTCTAGATCGTGGAGAATGTACCAGTGCAGAGCTGGCTTTATATAAATAGCGCGAGTTTGTCGGTATACGTGAATTTTCAATATGTGTCTAAGTTTTAAATAAATTAATAAGTACGTTATAAATAAATTACAAGTAAACTATTTTTAATAAATAAACTATTTTTAGATTTTCAAAGTTTAAATTAACGTCTTAATTATTGAATTTATGATATAAAATGTTTAATTTTACACTTGTTATTTTAAGAATTTATATTTAGGATTTTCTTGTATACAAAACTGAAAGTGAAAATACTCAAATCAAGTATATTTCGATAATGTGAGATATTTTTGAGTGTTTACACTGGACTAAACAACTGTCAGACATAAATCTCATGCAATAAGTGTCAGATGTAAACGTACCTTTAGTAAATTGATAATTTTATATTGCAACAATTTTGGGAAGTATTTAATAACACATGGTTTTTTGAAGCCATTCTTAAGTAAATTTCTGTTTGAACATATATTACTATTGTGCTCTTAACTGTGGAAATGTTATGTTGCTAAATAAAATAATATCAATTAAAATAGCAAATTTATCCTATCGCTAAAAAAATACAATTAAATTTTCTTTCGTATATATATTTACCAAGAAAGCAGTGCGGCTGCTAGATAATTTTTCCTTCGAAAACATCGTACTAGGTCCGTTCTCATCCAACGACACATACTTAAAATCGTTATGCTGCAAATCCGATAAAATTTTATCGACTCTCTTCTGAGCAAAAACAAATATACCCAACTTGACCATGCCCAATGTAAGAGTCAGGCACATACCGATGTAGCTCAACAATTTCGGTATATTTTGTAACATTTCGTTGAAAATCAGATACTGGCAAAAATTGTAAACGAAACCGTTGAAGTACATAAAACCGATGTATAAAAAGTATGGTAAGCGCAGCCATAGTGGTTTGTCGCTTCCGGGACGCCATAAACCAGCAGCGATTTTTATAAAGTCGTTAATCTCAAAGAAATTGTTGGAATAACCGAAAATTTCTGCGTTACTGGAGACCACCATATTGATTTGGAATTTTTGGTCGATTTCTGTTTCTTATATATTAAGGATTTTACTATTTTATATAAAAATTAATTATAGGGCGTCCTAATTATAAGTACTTATCTACATATTATCAAACTTAACCGAAACTTTGTTGTTACTGGAATCGACCATATTGGCTTTGGAATTTTTTCTTACTTATTAAGGATTTTATTATTTTATATAAAAATTAATTGTGGGCTTCCTAATTACCTATAAGGACCTATCTACAAATTGATTATCAAACTTTCACAGTTTTTGTAAAAGCGGTTCGTAAGGGAAGCTAATAGCTCCACTTTATTAATAATATTAATAATAATAATACTACTAATAATGATAATATTAATACTAAACCTTTCTCCACGACTATTTAATAATAAATGGTAGGAGGTATTCAACTGCTCGAATGGGACCATTTTCATAAACGAAAATAAAAATATTTGAAATCAAGTTCCACACAAAAGTAAATAGATGCTACTGGTCTCAGCTCAAGGGCCATCATCTGGCCTTAAAATTAAACATAGTGATAAGAAATGTAGGATCAAGGAATATCAAAACATAATATATTTTTTTTAATTTTGACTCTTTCATAAGTTATTACATTTTTCTAGGACATTTCATTTTTCCTAATACCCTGCTATAGGAGTCATCCTCCTTTTTAGGGTGGTTTGCCCTGATTACAGTAACCTAGTTGTCTTAAGTTGTCGTGTGCGACTGTGAGACCTGTGTGGCAGGTTGTGTTCCCCGAAATACCACCAATTTTTCTATTTCCAGCCTCGTAAATGGACAAGTCCAAGTATAAGGTGGGGTATATGTGTTACGGTTCAAAATCCATATGAATGTACTGGGATGCTTTTACCACAAAAATAATATATATAGTATTGACATTTAACTTTTAATTTACTCTAATTTATTATTTAAGTATAATAGGAATAAAATCTATTAAAAGCTCACTCCGTATACACCGTTTTGGCTAGAAGTTTATTAGGAGATCCATTTCTCATGTTCTGTGAGTTAACTAGAATGAAAAAAATACCTTTTATAACTCCATTGTCAAATTGGAAATTGTAGAAGTTTAACCTTTTATCAAGTATTTCTTTCTTGTTTTGATGATTCGTTCTGGTCCTCTGTAGATATATTTTCCATTGTTTTTCTTAATTAGTTTGTAGTTAAATTCCCCAGGTAAATAATCAATTGTATCTCGGTACAATCGGTCATTCAGCCAAATTCGAGGACAAAAGGGAAAAATTCACCTACGACCCTCTCTGACTGAGCAGGGATAATTAATAATTCCCCATCTATTTTGTTTTGCTCCGAAGGTCATATGATTTGGCGAGACCACCAAAACCTAAATCACGATACTGTACAAATATAATGAATTCTAATTATAAGATTGTAATGAGTTTTATCTGATGCTTAGGAGGGCTGATTTCGGCAAATCCTGGAGTTCAGTGGTAAGGGGGAGGTCTTGGGAGTCTGAAAGTAGTCTTAGATTTGGTTGCGACATTTTTCTTATCAGTTTTCGAAAAAGTTGAAGACGGCATGGGCGCTATGGGGTTTGTAGTGTATCTTGGGAGTATGTGTTGGTACCTTTCATCGTGCGAGAGATGTATTATTTTCTCAGGGTTTGGAAACAAGGATGTTGGTTTTGTAGATGTTTTCGAAGAATTTTCCGCTGAAAGAGCGATAAGGGAGGTATTGGCTCAGGACTCCCAGGAGATTAACATTGACGAGTTGGGAATTCTGGGAGCTTCTTTGAGAATTTGGGTGTTTAAAGATGACAAATTGTGTTTTATGTGAATTTAATGAGACCCTCCATTTGCTACACCAGAGAGAATTCTGGTTTAACAGATTTTGGATTCGAGTATTTAGTTGGTCAGAATTTTTGGCTACCGAGAGTAGAGCTGTATCGTCGGCGTATAGGAGGCATTTGGAAAAAGGGTGGTTTAGGGGGGGACATGTCGTGTGTGTAAATGAAATAAAGGAGAGAGGCCAGGACGGAGCCCTGTTTGGGACGCCGCAAGTGGGGTAAATGTATTTGACAGAGTTTTGCCCACTTTGACGGTGATTTGTTTTGTCAGTGAGGTAGGAGTGTATGAGTTTGGAGATTTGGGGGAAGATCTATGTTCATAAGCTCTTTGACTAGTCTGGCATGCCAGACTTGGTCGAAGGCTTTTTGAACGTCTAATAGAAAGGCTGATGAAATGTTTTGAAAATTTACTGCAGTGACGGCAGTAGTGTGAAGTGAGGAGATTGTGTCCTGTGTGGAGTGGTGAGGTCTGAAACCATGTTGGGATTAAGGGATGATATTTCTTTCTTCACAAAATTTCCAGATTCTTTTCTTGAGCAGAAGCTCCCTAGGACTGATTTGAGAGATGGACCTGTATAAATTTACTGATTTGGAGTCCTTGCTAAAATATTAACATAAACTACAACTTATATATCTACTGGTGTGCGATCTCTAATGTCGGCCGTATATACTATGTCGGCCGTATATACTATGTAGTACCACTAGGGTCCGTATTTATAAACAGAACTCAGCTGAGTCGGACTGAGTCTCCTTGAACTAAAATCGAAGTTCGATTATATCGCGTGAATTTAGAGATGAATAGTAACAAATCCGTAAATGTACTTATTAGTTACAGCTTTGTTGATATCCATCTCTAAATTCCACTGTAACACCGGAACCACCTGGAAATTTAGAGACGTTGTAACCGACCTTCGATTTTAGTTCAAGAACGACTCAGCTGAGTTTTGTTTATAAATACGGACCTTTGTCTATATTTATAAAGGGAGCTCCTAGATGTG